AAGATAAAGTCTATCTTGTGTAGCTAGGATTTATTAAAGGAATAGATTAGAGTTCTTTCACTATGTATAAACAGCATTTTTGCCTTTCAATGAACAGATAAACTCTTTGGCATAACCTTGCTAAAATATCTCTTTAAGATTAACGTGAATGGGCGCTGGCAGGATTCCAAAAAGACAAGGGTAACCTCTCCTCTCTAAGTGAACCTCTAAATCCACCTAAGTAGAAGAGAGAGAAATAGAAAGAGGCTCCTTGATGAGATAGTAAATAGGAGAGTCTTTTCTTTTCTTTTCTTTTCTTTTTTTAAGTTTCTGGTCTGGGCTGGGTTTGAACCTACCACCTCCAGCATATGGAACCAACACCCTACCCTTTTGAGCCACAGGCGCCACCCAATATGAGAGTCTTTTCATGTCCCATGTCCCTGTGGTAGAACCCTGCTCAGGACAATAAGAAAAGACTCTCTTTTAAAAGTTCATTTATTTGGAATTATAAATATGAAAAGTCTTTGTTTTGTTCATCTTCTTTTAATTCACATGAATGGTCTAGCAATTAATAAATTATTCCTTTTCAGTACAGCCATGAAACTTAAGTCTAACACGAGCACCACACATGTGAATATTATAATCTTAAACAGAAAATCTGTCTGGCCATCTTCCCAGTCCCAGCAGCTTAGAAAAAAATAAGTTGATAAAAATTCAAGCAGCAGAAGGGGGCAGTAAAACTCAACAGAATGCTCTGGAAGATTTTTAATATTCTTCCTTATTTTCTCTTCCTACAGACAATTTCCCAACAAATTTCAAAGGATAATAAGAGAAATTTTTTACAAGTACATATACACAGAAACACGAAACATATACAAATGTGAGAGGTATAATGTGTATACATCAGCAAAACCTTATTTTTTTATGGTACACAATAATCATAGTACTTTTCCATAGAAAACAGGATTAGCCATTTTAATTTGGTCTGTGACATTTAATAGCCTCCCATAACCAACATCCCAAAATGTAGGGATGCATTTTATTTTATTTTCTCAGATTTATCACAATTATCTTTGACAAATTACAATTAACAAATTATAGCAATGTTTTCTTTCTTAAGCCTGTAGTTGCACTATTTTCAAGACCCTATCCATCCTTAAAGTCTCAGTTTTGCTTTGAACTCTTTTCTGACATTAAAGGTATATGGAACTTTCTTCACTCTACTCTGCTATATAAATTACAATGTAAACAAAGTAGTTTAACCAAGTAGATTTTTTAAAGAGAATTTCCAATATGAGACAAAGTTCAATCCCTTTGAGTTCCCAGTAGCCTCAATAGGATTACTCTTTATTCCTTGTTTTTTTCCCCATCTTTGAATTCAGCCTCTCTTTGCAAACGTCTGAACATACTCTATACATAGTAGGTATACATCCAAATAATGTCTGATAGAGAACATAGTGATGATGTTGGTTTCAAAATGAATTCAGGATTAAAATGTAAACTTTTAGTATACTATCAAAGTGAGATTATGGATTCTTACACAGCATCTAGCCCAAGCTAAGATCAGTAGCTCTAACTGTAAACTTAAAATCTGAGTAGGTGCAATTTACTCATTTAAAATGAAACAGAAAATTGAAATTTTTAAAAGAAATAAAGAAGAAAATGATCCATGCTCTTTGTTGAAATTTCATGTCAGACTTAGTGTAATAAATGGAAGTGCCACCAATGGAATGAGTAAATATGACCGGAGAGAAAAGAAAGGCCACCTCGCTGGGACGGAATTTTAGTCATTTGTGTCTCATGAAGACTCAGAAAATGTATATATTAAGCAAAATGGTAAAAAAAAAAATTAAAAAATCGATGACTCCTTTTTTCTGTAAGGCTTCCACAAATTAGGGCATCTGGTGTAGTTTTCCGTTTTTTATGCTCTCCTTTTAACGCTAAGAAGGCGTGACTTAACAGAATGTTGTATTTTCCACTTCTTTGCTGTAATTTTTTTCTTTAGTATTTCATCTTTGCCAAGTCCTCCCTGACTGCTACCAAAGAAAGATACTCAAAATCAAAGGAAGATAAAAGGCAACTGTTAGGATTATTATTCCCTGTAATTAATTCCTCATTAAACCATGTTCCCAAATGAGAGTAGAAAATTAGCCCTAATAAACCCAGACAGTTGAAAAAGAAATGCGATGCTGTAATTTGATCCATTATCTTGGCAAAGTGGGCCAAAAAAAGAATGTAAAACTCAAATGTCTTTTATTGGGATCTCCTGCTGGAGACCAAAATGGTGAAAACTACGAGAAAACAGAAAAAGAAACGCATAAGACAGATATCTCGGACCCTGTAAATTCCGGTTATCGCCGCTTCCCTTGTCCGTCAGAAGACAAGAAATGTTATACCGCTGGTCCTTCGACTAAGTACAGGGAACCTGCTTCGGAGAAATATCGTGGAGAATATACTTTTTTTTATATATAACCTCTCCAAAAAACAAGGAGGGAGTGACGGTGCGAAGAACAGTATTTATGTTAAAAGCAACTTAGCCATAAAGCTTAAATTACAGATGTGTACACTGCGTGTAGTTATTACATTTCATTTGGCAAAAGTAAAAAATCAAATAAAATAAACGTATGTACGTGCGGTACACACAGAAGGTTAAGCGTCGTCGCCAAAACGTAGATGGTGTCAGCTTCCTA